ATATATATATATATATATATATATATATATATATATATGTGTGTGTGTGTATGTGTGTGTGCCACACATATATATATATCTTCCTGGTTGCCAGAGGCAACACCATATATGGCAACGCTCCTTGCTAAACAACTGATATGCCATTCTGTCCGCTTCCACATACTTTTTGGGCAGCTAATTATAGCTTATTATAGCCACTGACCAGGGACAGTCAAACTCCTGCCACTACCATGTAATACAAAGGTAAGGCTAGTTACTACAACAATTCAGCCCAAAACACCCCCCCCCACTCCCCCCAAAGATTCTCCTGAAAAGGAGAGGTACTGCATCTTTGCAAGAACTGGCTCATGGCAGCTGAGCAACAAAACCAAACCAAACCAAATAATAAAAAGGGCAAGGAGAGGGAATCGATTACCACTAACTCAACAAAAAATGTTGGTCTATAAAAGTATTATTCACTGTTTTAAATTGAATGAAGAGTTACAGCAATAGAGATTAAGCATTTGCAGCCTCCATTTTCACTGCTGCCTTTTATAGTCTTATTAGTTAAAAGCAGAGTTCTCTGCAGTCCTAGCCAGGCTGCAATCTTTGTACACTGATTTTTTTGGGGGGGTGGGTTAATATTGTTCTCCGTAGCAAAGAACTAAATACAATAGAACAAAAAAAATACATAGGTAAATACAGCAGGACATTATTGAAAACAGCTGCCTCGGAGAGTACAAAATACAGTACAAGTATATGGACGTAATTAAAACATCAAGAAATACTATTGCTCCCATTACAATTCAGGAAACAAGTTCTTTGCAACGGAGAAAAATGGAAAGGAAGGTTGGTTTTGTTTTTTTTCCAAGGGTATAAAATCTACCATGAACACATGGAATAAAGGAACAGCTTTTAAAATAAACAATCAATGCTTGTGATAAACTAATCTGACATTTGCTGAGCTTTGTAGCAAAACTCAATTTTTTTTAAAGAAAAATTCCAGCCAATTTTCCTACTGCAGCAAGAACTGAGTGAGGAAAACGCCTTTTATATGCCTCTTTGCTTTCTAATAAATACAAAACAAAGACAGTATAGAGAAGAGCAATGCCAAAATAAGGTAAATAAGGGTATGCAATAAATTAAAAAGGCAGCTCAAATAAAAGACAGGCATGCACAATTTTAAAAGATTGTAGAGGAAGCTTTACCTGCCTCTTTTTAAGATGTCACACAAACAATACCCGAAACTTTGCAATGAACAGTACGCAATTTCCATTCAATTCAAAGTTACTAGTATATAATGTTGTAGCTAAAAACACTTTTTTTAAAGAGGGAATAGGACTGACTTCGTTTAAAAAAATATCATTTTAGGTAAGAATCCATTTAAAATATAGATGAGGCAATTCTTTGGGTGGGGAGACCCAACTCTGCTTGGGAAAGACAACTGGACAAATAGGCAGTAGCTAGTCTATAGTAAAATTTGAAGGTGGTTAAGATGCTGCTCGTGTTCATAGTCACAGAACGTGGCTTGATTCTGCTCTTTTGTTTTATGACGACGACGATGATGAACCTCCCAGAGGGCAGACGGTGCTCTAAACAATCCACTGCTGTTGACATTAATGTGAGTTACTGAGGAAATGGGATTGCGTTTTCTTCTTGTTGTTAAAAAAAATCTTGTTAAAACAACAGATGCTGGACTTCTGGACCTGAGGTTCTTGGTGTCTATTTTCATAGAACATGTCCACTTATTTGCATGGTGAAAGCAGCTTTCCCTCTCGTATTTATTTATTAGACTTGAAGCCTCACATTTGTTCTCTTTTTACCAGATTTTAATGCTTTTGTTGTGTGTGTTTACAAACCCGGCGAGTTGCAGAACAGATTCCACCTTACTGGAATAGATCATCTTTTTTTTAAGGAAAAAAAAAAGCCCAGAGAAAGGCAGCTCCAATTTTTACTTCCTACTAAAGCCTAAAGCCATTTTGCTCTTTCACCTTATTTAGAGAGAAGGGGAAGAACTTTCAATGAACAGCAACTAGTCCACTCTGCATTCCTTGTGCTTTATGCCTTTTTTTCTTCTTTTGAACCTGCCTCTTTGCAAACCCCCCACCCCCACCCCTAAGGAGGAGAAGGGAAAAAAAACTCATTATGACCTGCCAACTTTAGAATAATAATTTCGTTATCGATTCTAGTTCAGGCACCTGTAGCTTTACGGGTAAAAATTTAGGAGGAGATCATCAGTGGACGTCGGTCCAGATACAGGCTCCATCCCTATTTCAACCCATCTTTCGGAACATTCTCAGGGTTGTTTCGGCCATTTTTCCTGTCTCTTCCTCCCTTCTCTCCCCCCCCCCCCATTCCCATTTCAACTCTCCCATCTGCCTTGGGCTTCAACCTTCCCCTTCACGTTGGGGTTTTTGTTAACAACTTGCCCGGTTACGCTGCTGGACTTGGATAGCTGTGCCAGCTTCTCTTCTTCCTTTTCCAACTGTGCTCAGTGGCCACGCAGTCTCCAAGAACGCTGGTTTTTGAGAGCGGAGAAGGAGGAGGAAGAGGAGGAGGAAGAACATGAGAGCTCAAAAAATGCAGGAGAGGGGAGGGCACCGAGAGGAAGGGAGAGGGGAGACCCAAGATGAAATCCTCTCCCTAATTTCGCCCCCCTCCAATAAATTAAAAAGAAAGGGGGGATGTAAGTAGGTGGGTGGGGGGAAAAAAGACACCACACATTTCAGCTGTGGGGTGGGGGGCAGATGAGAAGCCTTGGGAAGCTCGAACCAATCAATGGTGGAAAGGATCCCCTTTTCACGGTGGAAAGGATCCCGTTTTTTCACCAGGTGGAAAGGATCCCCCTTTTCTCTACTCTGCGGGCCAGGAGGACGGAGGTTAACTGAGGTCACCGGAATTCCTTCCTCTCTCTCTCTCTCTCTCTCTCTCTATGGGGCAAAGAGGATGGCAAGCCTGGGGGCGGGAGGGGTGAGCTTAAAGCTGGGCCAATTCACAAGGACAGATGCTGTATCTTGGAAGGAGGGAGGAGGAGAGGGGGACAACAGAGTGGGGAAAGGAGGCAATTCAGAAGTGGGTGGAGGCAGGGCAGGCAGGGCTCCTCTCTCTCTCCTCGCGGAGAAGGAAGCTTAGGATCAGGTTGCCCTGCGCCCCATTTCCATCCACTCCTCCTCCTCCTCCCCGGTCCATGGAGGGGGGGGGACAACCCCTCCTCCCCGTATAGCGGCGGCTGGGGGGAGGGAAAGAGGGGTTTGGAGAAGAGGAAGAAAAGAGGCTCAATCGTCGTCCACATCATCCCCGTCGGAGTCGTCCCCGGCGCCGCTGCCGCTGCCCGGGCCGGCCGTCCCAGCTCGCCGGTCGTAGAGCTTGTCCCGCTGGCGTTCCTGGATGTCTCGCATCTCGTCGGCGTAGCGGCAGAAGGCGCCGCCGAACTTGGCCCAGGCCTTGTAGGGCACAGTGATGGCGTTGCGGTAGGAAGGCTTCACCTCGCTGACGCGCAGGAAGACGCCGTACTTGTTGCAGCCCACGTCGAAGAAGAAGCGCTTGGAGTCCACCGTGATGGAGGTGCCCTCGGGCAGCTCCCCGTACAGGCCTCCGCCGCCGCCTCCGGGGCCACCGCCGGGACCCCCGCCGCCGCCCAGCTCGTCCTCGTCGGCGCCGTAGTCATCGATCAGCTTGGCCAGGGCATCGCGGAACTCGATGAGGCCCTGGGCCGGCAAGGCGATGGTCTGGCCGCTCTGGAGGCCCGGGGGCCCGCCGGGGAAGCCCGCCCCGCCGCCGCCTCCTCCTCCGGGCCCGCGGTTGATGGTCTGGCGGATGCGGAGGAAACGTCCCCGCTGGTTCTCCTTCAGGTCCAGGTAGTATTTGCGGTTCTCGCGCACCAGGAACTCGCTCTTGAGGGCCCGCCGGGGGCCCCCCGCGCCCCCGCTGCCGTCCTCTCCGCCCGGGGAGGCCTGGGCGAGCTGTTCGGGGCTGCTGGGCCCCAGCTGGGCGTAGTGCTCGATGAAGTCCCCCAGGTAGTCTCGGAACTCGGCGGCGACGGCCATGGAGAGGGTGAGGCGGCTCTTGGAGCCCCCCGCGCCCACCTCGGCGATCTTCAGGAAGCGGCCCTTGGCGTTCTGCTTGACGTCCAGGTAGAAGCGCTTGTTTTGGATGTCCAGGCGCTTCGAGGCCAGCTCCTGCGTCTCCTGCTCCGGGCCCGGGCCTCCGCCGCTGCCGGGGCCTCCACCTCCTCGGTGGCCCTGGAAGCCCACGCCGCCGCCGCCGCCGCCGCCACTGCTTCCGCCGCCGCCTCCACCGCCACTGCCGCCTCGCTCGCTCCCGCTGTCCCCGTCCGCCATCTTCTCCGCCCGAGTCCTTCTCCTGCTGCCGCCGTCGTCAGGCCCAGCCCCGGTCTGCCTTCCTTCCTTCCTTCTCCTCCTCCGCCTCTCTCTCTCTCTCTCTCTCTCTCTGGCTCTCTCTTCTCCTCAGTCGCTGAGGCGTAGCCGTCCACGCGCACGCACGCGCGCCCCCGACACGGAGGAAGGGTGGGTGGGGGTTAAGGGAGAGGGAGGGAGTGCGCGCGCGCACCTGGGCTCCCGCTCTGCCTTAGCCGACGACGCCTCAGCCGCCTCAACCCCCGATTTCCTTGCGCGCGCTCTTCCCCCCCCCCGTCTCCCAACGCGCGCGCGGGCGACCGACGCCGGAAGCTTTGCCCCTCCCCCCACGCAAACAGAACTTAAAGCTCCGCCCTTTTTCTCTTATCTCAGAGTCCCCTACAGAGGGAGAGAGAGAGAGAGAGAGAGCGAGCCCACCCCCTCCTCCGCCGTAGCGGTGACGTCTTCCGCCCGCTCCCTTCTTCCGCTTCCCTGCGACAAGGGCGAGGCTGCGCTGACTCTTTCCCACCCCCTCCCTTCACTCTTTCCCTCCCTCCCTCTCTCCCCCTCTCTCTCTCTCTCTCTCTCATCGCGCGCGCGCTACGTCTCGCCCTCGGTATGTGCGCGCATCCTCGCGCGCCGGCTCGCCTTCGGATGCGCGCGGAGCCTCGCGCGCCGGATCGACCCTCGGATGCGCGCGCAGCAGCCTCCCTTTCTCGACTCCCCGCGGGGAAACTTCAGGAGCGGTAGCGTGCTGCTTCTCTCCCCTCCGTTAGGTTTCTGGAGGACGACGACGACATCTCCCATGGTTCCCAACCCCCGCTGGAGTGGGGTGAGGTGGGGGCGACAGGGGAGTCGTCGCCCAGCCTTTCAGGGAAGGGAGACAGCCTCCTCCCTTACGGCAAACTGGAAGCCGGGAGCGACCGACTGCCCTGCGAAGTGGAGAAGCCCCTTCGGGGCGTTGCTTGCACGGGCTTCTCCCTGCCATGGGAGCGAGACACGCGTGCACGTCCTTCCCGACGTGATGCAGAGACTGCTAGGATGGGGAAGCGTTGCAACCTGTTCTCGATCCCCAGCTAGAAATAGAATAGAACAAGAATTAGGATAGGATGGAATAGAAGAAAATTAGAAAAGAACAGAATAGAATATTGGAATGGAGAATAGAATAGAATACAAAATAGAATAAAATTACAATAGAGAAAAGACTACAAAATAGAGAATAGAATAAGTATTAGAATACAATATGGAATAGGATACAGAATAGGATAGGACAGGATAGAATAGCATTCTTTATTGGCCAAGTGTGATTGGACACACAAGGAATTTGTCTTTGGTGCAGATGCTCTCAGTGTATATAAAAATACAAGATACATTTGGCAAGAATCATAAGGTAGAACACTTAATGATAGTCGTAGGGTACAAATAAGCAATCAGGAAACAATATCAATATAAATCATAAGGATACGATTTGGAAGCCAAACGGCCACACAAGAAACTGCCCGGAGGGTCGTGTGAGGTTCAGGATGCAAAGTGGCAGCGTGCAGATATATCCCCTGTCCTGACTTTCCAGCCCAGGCGGGACGTGGCTATTGCTCCGAGGAACAAACAGAGCAGCCTTCCCAGGACCCGAGTAGAATCCCTGCGTGCCAAGCATCCCCACCCTGCAAAGGCATCGCATCCCACGTGCCAGTGGGACAAGGATTTTCTCTGCAACCGTTTCCTTTCTCAACATGCTGTCTTCATCTTCCTTTTGCAAATGGGCAAAAGGGGGCAGAGAGCCTAGCTGATCTAAACAGCCGTGGCGGAATTGCTAAAAGCCTGTAGAGATTCTCCGTCCTCCAGGTCATGGTTGCCCCAAAGGCGCTTTTTCTGGAGGCAACTGGACTTGTTTTTTCTTTGAAGATGTTTTGCTTCTCATCCAAGACGCTTCCTTATCTCTGACTGGTTGGGGGAGTGGAAGGATTTATACTCCTTGCAGACAGCTGGTCATTGGGAGAAGAATATAATTAGAGGTCATTCACAAGGAATATGGAAACCCTTCCATTTCCCCACCATGCTGTCAGAGTTGAAGAAGCTTCTTGGATGAGAAGCAAAACATCTTCAAAGAAAAAACAAAGTCCAGTTGCCTCCTGAAAAATGCACTTTCGGGACAACTATGACTGGAGAACTGAGAATCTCTACAGACCTTTAGCTATACAATTTGGGATGGACACCCTTTGAATGATGTGGGAGTAGGAATGGATTCCCAGAGGAAAAATTGCAGACTAGGAACAGTTTGCACTACTCAGGTTACCCTGAGGACGCAGATAAACCCTCCAAGTGCTTCAAGGACCCTCTAAAAGGATGCAAATGACCAGCTGTCTGCAAGGAATATAAATCCTTCCATTTCCCCACCATCCTGTCAGAGTAGAAGCAGCTTCTTGGATGAGAAGCGAAATCTCTTCAAAACAACAACAACAAGAAAATCCAGTTGCCACCTGAAAAAAGCACCTTTGGGACAATTGTGACCTGGATGATGGAGAATCTCTACAGACTTTTAGCAATCCCCCCTGGATCAGCTTGGCTCTCTGCCCTATTTTGGCCATTTGCAAATGGAAGATGAGGGCAACATGTTGAGCAAGGAAACGGCTGCAGAGAAAACCCTGTCCCACTGGCACGTGGGATGCGATGCCTTTTGAGGGTGGGGTTGCTTGGCACGCAGGGCTTGGGACAATGGCAGGGAATGTTCTTTCCCTGCAAAGCTGCTGGAGAATTGTGGTGGAAGTAGGCTGTGATATCTCTTCCGGTTTTAAACTTTCTAGCACTGATTGAGCAGAGGTGATGTCATGAAGTATCCACAGCCATTTTAACCCACCAGAAAATGAGAGGAAGCAAACAAAAAACCCAACCCCATGCAATTTACTTGCAGGCTATGCTTCCAGAGAGACGGAAAAGAAGCAAAATCTGTGCATGGAATTGACAGCTCAGGTTAATGATCAGCCTGAGAGAATCACAGAGTAGGAGATAAAATGGAGAAGGACAATAAGAACAGTGCTGAGCCAAGAGAAAATGAAATGTGCAAAGAAGGAAATCAAAGATAGGGAAGAAGATTGGAAACTGAAGAAGGCGGCTCAGAGGATTTCTAAGCACTGTTGGGGCGAATTGGAAGGTTGATCAGGTAAGGAACCAGGGCCATTAAATTGAAAGGTGGGGGTAAAAACTGCACAGAAGAAGAATACAGTTGGAAGGGAGTCTTCGAAAGTCTTCCTATACCATTTCAGACAAGTGGCTATCCGGTCTCTTTTTGAAAGCCTCCAGTGATGAAGCACCCACAACTTCTGAAGGAAAGCTTTTCACACGGGTTAATTGTTCTCACTGTCAGGAACTTCTGAAGGAAAGCTTTTTCCTTCAGAAGGAAAGGCAACTTTCCTTTCAGAAGGAAAGGCAACAGAAGGGAAGGCAACTTCTGAAGGAAAGCTTTTCACACGGGTTAATTGTTCTCACTGTCAGGAAGTTCCTCCTCAATCCTAGGTTGCTTCTCCTTGGTTAGTTTCCATCCATTGTTTCTTGTCTTGCCTTCTGGTGCTTTGGAAAATAGTTTTGACCAGCTCGTCTTTGTAGGAGCCCATTAAATATTGAAACACTGCTTTCATGTCTCCCTTAATCCTTCTTTTCATTAGACATCTCAATTCCTGTAACCGTATGTCTTAGTCTCCAGCCCGCTAATTTTGTTGCTCTTCTTGCGCTCTTTCCAGAGTCTCAATCTCTTTTTTATATTGTGCCCAGAACTGATGCCATAGTCTAAGCGCGGTCTTACTCAGTGGTGGGACTCATCCCTAGAGTGGGATGAGTCTGTTTATCGAGATGAGGTAGAGCGGTTGCTTTCGTGGTTTGGAGACAATAAATTGGTCTGTAACACCAATAAAACCAAGGAGCTTATAGTGGATTATAAAAGGAATAGATCAGACATCCAGGCCTTGCTTATCAACGGAGACCGAGTGGAGCAAGTGGCCAGTTTTAAGTTTCTGCGTGTTCTCATTTCATGGGGCACTCACATTGCAGCCCTGGTCAACAGGGCCCAGGAGAGATTATACTACCAGAGACTTCTCAGGAAACAACAACCGAATAGAAAACTGCTGGTGGCCTTCTACCGCTGCACCAGAGAGAGTATTTTAACTTACTGCACCTGTGTATGCTTTGCCAATTGCACAGGGGCAGATAGGACAGCGCTCCAGACGGTCAATGTCATTGCCCAAAGGATCTTTGGTTATCCTCTCCCCTCTTTGGAAGAGCTTGATAGCTCCCGCTGACTTAAGGAAGTTCAAAACATCCTTAAAGATCCATCTCATCCTGGGCACCCTTTTTTTTTAACTATTACCATCTGGCAGACATTACAGGATAATAAAAACAAAGACAAGTAGACTGAAAAACAGCTTCTATTCCAGAGCTATATTGAATTCTACTGTGTAGTACAATATTAATACAATATCAGGTTTTTTTTTAATACAATATAATATTAATACAATATCAGGTTTTTTTTTAAGTCTACTGCTATTTTCAATTTCAGTTATATAGAATGTGAAGGATGTGTGTTTGTGTTTTATTTTGATAGTTATAATGTACATGGAAGATGGCGTTTAATTTTGTTGAACAATGTGCAATGACAATAAACTAAACTAAGG